AGTCTGATGATAGTGAATGCTTATTTCTTACCACAGTTTTGTTTTGTAATTTCTACCATCAGTTTTTTTTTAAGATTTATTTATTTTAAAGATTTATTTATTTATTTTAGAGATACAGAGGAAAAGGAGTGAGAGAATCCACAAGCAGACTCCGCAGCTGAGCAGGGAGCCAGATGTGGGGCTCAATCCCAGGACCCTGAAATCATGACCTAAGCCAAAATCAAGAGTCAGCCACTTAACCAACTGAGCCACCCAGGCACCCTTTATTTATTTTAGAGAGAGACAGAGAGCACGAGCGAGAAGGGCAGAGGAAGAAGGAGAGAGAATCTCAAGCAGACTCCACGCTGAGTGCAGAGCCCGACGGAGGGCCCTATCTCACTACCCTGAGATGGTGACCTGAGCCGAAACCTAGTCTCTTGCTTAATGGTCTGTAGCACCCAGGCGCCCCCTACCATTACTTTCTATGTATTGTAGGGGCCCATCTTAATTCTGAACCTTTTCATTTGGTGTGCTTCTGTTTTAGTATTAACATTTCATTTATTATTTATGCAAATGCTAATGCCTGACTGGCCCCCTCTATTCCCCACATCTACCTCAGGAAAGAACAATGTATGTCTTTTTGTTTTTAATGTATTCTTTTTAAGTACAACAGTCTCATATTTTAGTATTTAATGTTATTAGTCAATGTATTTATGTATAACTTTTTTCCAAAATTTGAAATTAGTCACAATATTTTAATACAAATGAGTCTTATTTTTATGCAAGTTAATCCATTTGTATTTGTTGCAATTTGATGCTCACCCTGAATTCCTTCCTCTACTTTTATTGTCTTCTTTTGTCATTTATATATTTTCCATAATGTATATTCTTTTTTAATAATATTTTAAAGATACAGTAATATTAACTATTATGTTTATCATACTTAGAGCAGGTTTTTACTTAAAAAAATGAAATGGCATTGTTTATTCTAATTTATGTCTGAAAATTATTAACAGTCAAAAGTCACAGATCACCTTCATAGCAATGAAAGCCCAGGATTCCTGTCTCCCACTCCCTGCTTCTCCCTTCTTCTTGCCACCTCCAGATCCCCTGAGGAATACTGTTCGGAAGGCTAAACAGCAATTTTCTTTTTCTTTTTTTTTTCTCATTTACATCTTACTTTTATTTAGTCAGTTATAATGATTACTCATAGTTAACATTACAATACTAACCTTCCTCCAATTTCTGACATATAATAGGTACCTCTAGCTGTCTTGAAGCTATGAAATCAACACGTTTTCAATGTTTATGTTTTTCACGTGTATGTATCTTTTTTTTTTTAAAGATTTTATTTATTTGAGAAAGAGAGAGAATGAGAGACAGAGAGCACGAGAGGGAAGAGGGTCAGAGGGGGAAGGAGACCTCTGCTCAGCAGGGAGCCCGATGCAGGACTCGATCCCGGGACTCCAGGATCATGACATGAGCCGAAGGCAGTCGCTTAACCAACTGAGCCACCCAGGCGCCCTCACGTGTATGTATCTTAAGTGTTTCTACTTTAAGGGAAGAGAGATAAAGAGGAAAGGGAATTCTCAATTTAACCAGATAACTGATTTCCTTCACCTGTAAGTCCACCGTTCTCAGATATTTATTCAGTTTACAAAATACAAATTATTATAATTTGCATTCCTTTGAATGTCTGTCTCTATATTTGCTTAAAGATTTTTAAATTATCATTAATGTTCAGAATTATTAAGAGGTTATGTCTCGATAGCATTTTCAGGTTTTTAACCTTTACAGGCTCATAGTGTCTTTCCAGTTTCCGGGCTAAGGTCTTTTTTGCAATTATGGGACATTTTCTACAACTATGTTTAAGTGCAAACTCTACCACTCCTTTACTCATTTTCCTAAAACATAATTATATCCATGCTCTTTTATTTTTTTGGTAAAGATTTATTTATTTATTTATTTATTTGAAAGAGGGAGAAAGAGAGAACATGCACGCAGTGGGGAGGGGCAGAGGGAAAGAATCTCAAGCAGACTCCCGCTGAGCGTGAAGCCCTATACGGAAGTTCTCACAACCCTGAGATCATGACCTGAGCCAAAATCAAAAGAGTCCGACGCTTAACCGACTGAGCCATTCAGGTGCCCACATACTCTTTAAATAAATTAGCAATATTTTTCCTGAACTAGTCTCATGTAGCTAACTCTTCTGTTTTTTGATTCTCTGATCTGTCACCAGCATCACTGTTTTGTACCCATGATTTTACTTTTTTTTATTCTAAAGATGCTTTACTTGACCTATGGCTAACACCCTGGCAATGCACTCTTTTTTTCCCCTCAACTTGTTTTTCCATAAATTTTAGGCCATTATTATCTTTTTAGAAGACATTTTGCTCATTCTCTGAATTATCTGCAGCTTTGAAATTCAGTAATGTTTTCAGGTTTCTTTTTAAGTCCTTCTCATAGGCTGATATATCTTTTGTCTTTGCTATTTTTTTAACATTATAGATTTTCTTGGCTTCACATTACTTTATAGAGCTCTCGATGGACTTAATGAAATAAAGGAGGGATCACGTATTGCTTCATCACCTCTTCAGTTGGTACCCATACTGGGGAATCTTTTGTTTGCTTTGTAAAGCTATTTACAGTAAACAGGTCCCTATACAGACAGTCCCTGACTGACAGGGATTTGACTTATGGTTTTTCAACTTTATGACCATATGAAAGTGATATGCATTCGGTAGAAATGTACTTGGAATTCTGAATTTTCATCTTTTCCTGGGCTAGATATATGCAGCAGGACCCTCTTTCATGATGGTGGATGGTAGCGGCAAGCCAAAGCTCCCAGCCAGCCATGCAATCATGAGGGTTAACAACTGATATGCCATAGGCTAGTATAAGTATTCTGAGAGCATTTAAGGTAGGCTAGACTAAGCTATGATATTCAGTAGGTTAGGTGTTTTATTTTATTTTATTTTTTTTAAAGATTTTATTTATTTATTTGAGAGAGAGAGAGAGAGAGAGAGAGAAACAGCATGAGAGGGGAGAAGGTCAGAGGGAGAAGCAGGCTCCCCGCTGAGCCGGGAGCCCGATGCGGGACTCGATCCCAGGACTCCGGGATCATGACCTGAGCCGAAGGCAGTCACTTAACCAACTGAGCCACCCAGGCGCCCCTCAGTAGGTTAGGTGTTTTAAATGCATTTTCATCTTACAGTATTTTCAATTTACAGTGGGATGCAACCCATTGAGGGAAAACCTATATATTAAAATTGCTCCCATGGGGAAGCCTGAGTGGCTCAGTTGGTTGGGCATCTGATTTAGGCTCAGGTCATGATCTCAAGGTTGTGAGATCAAGCCCCGCCTCCAGCTCCATACTGGGTGTGGAGCCTGCTTAAGATTCTCTGCCCCTCCCCCCATTAAAAAAATTACATAAATAAAAGTTTTAAAATAAATAAATTAAATAAAAATTCCTCCTCTGAAAGCAGTACATTCTAATGCTCAATTTGGAAATAGAGAATATTTTATTTTACATAGAGGAGTAGTCTTGTACTTAAAAAGCAACAAGGTCTAGGAGTTGTACCTTCAGATAAAATAAATCCTTTATCAATAAGCAAGCAAAGGAGAAAAAAAAGGAGATGCAAAAACCAGAAAAAGACTCTTAACTATAGAAAACAAACCGATGGTTACCAGAGGGCAGATGAGTGGGGGGATGGGGGAAATAGGCGATGGGGATTAAGAGTACACTTCATGAGCACTGAGTAATGTATAGAATTGTTGAATCAGGGGCGCCTGGGTGGCTCACGGTTAAGCACCTGCCTTCGGCTCAAGTCATGATCCCGAGGTCCTGGGATCGAGCCCCACGTCTGGCTCCCTGCTCAGCGGAGAGCCTGCTTCTCCTTCTCCCTCTGCCTGCCATTCTGCCTACTTGTGCTCTCTCTCTATCTCTCTGTCAAATAAATAGATGGAATCTTTAGGAAAAAAAAAGAATTGTTGAATCACTACATTGTACACTTAAAACTAATATTAGCACTGTATGTTAACTGTATTGGAATTAAAATTTAAAACTTAATAAAAATAAATACATCCTTTCTCATCAGGAGGGCAGATCCCTGGAATAAGTGTCATACCTCAACCTGAGCCTGCCAGTTGTCCTCACTACCTTTGTCCTTGGAGAATACCCAGGTGTCTCACTCCTTCTTCCTCTGGTCCAGCAATGGGGTTATGCATCAGGCAGAGAAGTGAAATAAAACATCGTTTTCACTCATCACCAAGAACTGAGTTTTTAAAAGATGGGGAGAGGAAAAGATAAGAGACTGATGTTGCTCACTGCTAGGTATTCTCCCTGATTATCTGTCTTCTGATTCTTTCTACAGTCTATTTGTTTCCTTACCTATAAAACCGAAGTGAACATGTGAAGGGCTTCAGGTATGAGAGCATTAAGTAACATTTCAAACAGCCCCAAAGCAAACAAAATTGTGAGCATGAACATAATACCTACGTGATAACAGTGTTCGGAATTCCAGAAGACAGTCAGGTTTATTCCGCGTAGTTCATTGTGGATGAGCAGCAAAGCCTGGTCCATCTTCAGGTCTACATGCTTTTTTTTATCTAAGTCTGGTAAGAATTAGAAAAAAAAAGTTTTTAAAAAACAAAGCATCTGAAAGACACGTTAGAAACAAAGTGCACCTGTGTGAACAGCGGCTTCACAGGCGTGCTTCTCAAATGCCTGCACTCAGGGGCTCTGCAGTCTCTCGTCCCTTACTACACAACTGCACGACTATGCACACATGTGCACACGCGCACACACACACGTGCCCTTTTGCACACATGCCTCTACTACAGACAAGGATTCTGTTAACACCATTCACATCCTGTGTGTAAACGAACCATGTGGGAGTTTATGTTCATCACATGCTAAAGTGTGAGGGGCATTGAATTTACTAGTTTCACATATCTTCTATTTGACAATATGCCAATCTCATGAGCTGGTATTTTCTCCATTTTGCAGATGAAGAAATTAAGGCTCGAAAAGATTTGATCATTGCGCATGGCCAGAGTTCTGTGAAATCACTGTGTGAACCCAGTTTGTGTGGTTCCAAAGCCCGAACTTTCCTGGACCATGTTACTCCACTCTGAGTGCAGCTCGGGAGATGCCAGGATGCCCGGTCAGCAGGGCTCTGCAGGGATCTGCACACCCTTTAAAGTTGAGAAGCTCTGTCTTATATCACTTGGGTTTGACTTCTGAATCTCCTTCTGGTTTCCACAGCAGATTTCAAGTAAGAAGAGAGGATGAGCTTCAGTCTGAAGGGAGAAAGACCTGCTGCTTTGTATTCCCTAGGCTTAGAGCTCACCACTTTACTAGATGCTCTTTGGATGACCTAAAGACCACGACCATGAACATTCTAAATTTCACCTGTCGACTTGGTAGGCAAACAAAGAGAACTACTATTGGGTAAAGTGAAAGCAAAATGTTTCATTTAGACCAACATCCCCATTTATACTACTATATGAAAGAGAAATTAATTTGCCCTCTAGCTTCTAGAAGGACAGAAAAGAGAGAGGGAAAGAAAGAGATACTATTTAATAACACAATGAGACAGGTAATAATCTAGGCTCTTTTTTTTTAAGAGGGAGAAGCAGATTCCCCACTGAGCAGGAAGCCCGACACGGGGCTCGATCCCAGGATGCTGGGATCATGACCTGAGCCGAAGGCAAACATTTAACCGACTCAGCCACCTAGGCGCCCCTAATCTAGCCTCTTTTAATTTTGTAATATGAAAGCTTCCTTCAGGGCTCCCTGGAAAATCATGTGAACAGTTAATTGGTTAATTCAGGAAATTCTTCACTGTGGCCAGTCTAAATCCCTCATTTTATTTTATTTAAAGATTTTATTTATTCATTTGAGATAGAGAGAGCATGAGCAGGGAGAGAGGAAATTCCAAGGGGTTTAGCAGTCCTGTGCAAGAAACAGGGATGAAGACCAAATATATATTTCTTCATATAAACCACAGTTTCTCAAATTCTAATAGTGTGTACTTCATAGGACTGTTGGGAAGGCTACGGTTGATAATATATGTAATGTGGTTGGCGGAGAATCTGAAACAAAGCAACAGTTCAACACATGATAATTATAACGTCCAGGCCACATCCAACCAACACAGAGCTTCATCGGGGTTAGGGATACATGGTTAAATATTTTCCACCGTTGTTTCTGCTTTTTTCATGTAACTTCATTTCCAATTCCTTCCCATTGTAAGAAGTGATGCTATATACATCTAAAATTAACACGTTCTCCTTTTGACATAGTTCCTTAACTTCCAGGAGTGAAATTTTATAGCCTTTTAAATAGCTTTTGCTATGCATTGCCAAGTTCCTCTCCAATTCAGTTGTGCTGATTTATGAGGACACTGTGGTGACTTTTGCTCCCAGGTGATACAAATTACACACCTGAATGTGCACCAGGCCCCAACAGCCCTGTGAAATAGCTCCTGATGTCTCCATTTTCTGGATGAGGAATCTGAGGCCTGGAGAGGTCAAACAACTTGCCTCAAGTCACCCACCAGCCACCAGGACTTCACGCTGTGGCCAGTCTGACCAGCACCTGACCTCTGTGATCAGTCTCCTGAGGGTAAACCCTAGAAGCTAGGCCAGTGATTTTTAGCCTTTTTCTCCCTCACTTTTGAGCCTGATGTATAGAAAATATAATTTCCTTACTGCGTTAGGTTAGAAATAATGATTGGCAAGCTTGAAAATGTTTTCCAAATGTTTACCATCAGTACTTTCCTTTCATATTAATTGTTGGAATGTTCATTTATTTAACCACTTAACCCCCATTAAAAAGGAGACAGCAGGCCCAGAATGGAGTCACATATGCTGAACCCCACCCAGACCTAAGACCTACCCTAACCGCTTCTTCAGCTTTGGCCAGTAATGGGGTCTTCAACCAGGCAATATGGAACTTCCTGTCAGCATCAGGAGGTAATCTGCTGATAGACCCTTTCTGTTCCCCCCCAGGAAGGTCACCTTGCTTAAAACAATGCAGTTTGGGGGAATAATTTCCTTTTTCCTCTCCCTCTCTGCCTTTAAAAACCTTTCCTTTTCTGCTGCTCAATGAAGTTCCTTTCTACACTATTTGCTAGATAGGAAGCTGCCCCATTCATGAGTTGTTGAATAAAGCCAATTTGATCTTTAAATGTACTCAGTTGTCTTTTTATTATTTAACAGACTTGGTGGCAGCGGTGGGATTGAAGGAGACTTCCGATGACTCCAGGGAAAATGAGAAACATGGGCATGGTACCCCACAAACACTCCTGAGTTCACGGTCTCGCTCACCATGGCCAAGTGCCATGGGTAAGTTCTCTCTTGGTTCTGTGCTCTGCTCTCTGTATCAAGCCCTCGAACTAATTGCCTCTTCAGTCCACAATTCCAGGCTTTTTAAGTGGAAAACTCCAGCTCCTAATCTCATCCCAAGTTCAATGTGGAAACTGTTGGAAGCAGTGCACAGTTCCACACCATGGGGAGCCCCCAGTCTGCAACCCCCATCTGCTGGGGACTGCTGGTTCAACCCTTTCCCCAGCCCAAGACTCCACAGGGACTGCGGGTGGTGCACACAGGGCCTTCTACTGGCCATTCCACAGAAATTTCCAAACCCGGGATTTCAGTTCTGTTCTCAGATTCCACACTGGCAAGTGCCGGCATTTTAGTCTGCCGTTCTCCACTGGGAATCCTTCCCCAGATTCCATGTCTGTCGGGAGCAGGTGCAGTTCTCATTTGTTTGGAATCAGTCTACAGGCCCCATTCTTTGAGGTTTGCTGGTTCAACACTTTCCCCTGCCCCCAGTTCTTCAGTTACAGCTGACGTCCACAGTTTCAGTTCCTCAGATACTACTACTGGTTGCTGCAAATGTGCACATGATGGAAAGGTTAACTGTTCATGGGAATCAGGGAGGCCAAAAAAGCCACAAAAATTGGTAAGCACGAGTCAAGCATTTAAAAGCTGTTAAGAGTGCTCACCACTTAGCCCAAAGACACCTGAGTTAGGACGAGCTAGTCACAGAACCAGTAGGGTTGACACTAGGTCACCTGCCAACCTCAAGAAAAATTCTGTATGATGAAGTATAGCATGAAACACCACATAACCCCAGCCCCACAGCATATCCCTCTTCGGTATTAATCTGGCTAAAAAATAAATAATAAATAATAATAAAGATAAAGATAGGATCCTTAATTTCTGAAGAGTGAACTGTGCCACCATCTGGCACACTTGCTTATTTTATGCCTAAGAACTGTTGGTCCCAAAAGCTATAAATATCCACAAAAATGGCAAAATCGTACTAACGACAAGCTAGAATTACAGTGGCCATTTTGAGTAATGTTCCAATTAGATCAGCTCATTTAAGAAGTGCAGTTAAAAGTAAGGATTCCCAAATTAAACAAACAGAATGTGACACATAATTTTAATTGGTATGCAGAAGCCTCCAAAAGGTTTCAAAATGGCAAAAGAGCTCCACTAAAATGTTTATTGTAAAAGACTAATGAAAAATTAAAAACAAAAGAGGTACCTAAAACAAAAGGCTATAGAACTGAGTCAATCCCTTGCTGCTCCCCCATCCTCCTTTATGTGAGTGCTCATTCTAGTTAGCCTCTCTCTGAAGTAACTTTACATGACCATGAACAAAGTCAACCAAGTCTATGATCTTACAGGCATCCCCACATGTACCTTCAAAGGAGGGGCCCCCGTATGAGCTCCTCTCAGAGTTGGCAAGACTCAGGGATTTCCTGATAAACTGCTACATTATTCCCTTAAACAGCCAAGGGAAAACTAAAATTAAAAAACAAAACAAGAGGGATGTCTGGGTGGCTCAGCTAGTTGAGCGCTTGCCTCCGGCTCAGGTCATGATCCCAAAGTCCTGGGATGGACCCCACATCAGGTGTGGAGGTTGCTTAAGATTCTCTCTCTTCCTCTCCCACTGCTTCACCCCCACGCTTGTGCGCACACACACACACTCTCTCTCTCCCTCAAATAAAAGGAAAAAAAAAGACAAGACTAAACAGAAAACCTTCCCAAATTCCAGTAAATTTCAGAACTACAAACTCTCTGCTTTAAATCCCGTTCACAGCCTACAGACAGGATCCCGGAAAAACAGATGGAAGCTGGCTAAGTCCTTCTCTAAACTAAATGTGGGAAAGAGAAGCATTCCCACATAGGTGGGTGGACAGGTCAGTCCTTCCACATCCAGACTATAACCTGAATCTTTGAGGAATTAAAAGCAACTGTCCTTTTCTTAAAAATCTTTACAAAACTAGAAATGCACATGGTGAGGCAATTCAAAGTGAACCGATTCCTTTCACTGATCTCCAAGCCTCCCCTTGTTTATCTCAAAAGGCTTGTAAATTATTGTCCTTAGAAAACCAAAGTTCTTCTTGGAGGAACTTGCATTCTTTCGCTGTGACTTCTGAGATGAAAATATCAAAAGTACAAACTCTGTGAGGTAATTCTTATCAGAAGTATAATGAAAGGAGTAATTTAGATAAATGAAATTTAGATAAATGAAAAATCATGTATCTTCTCCACAAATATTAGTAGAAAAAACTTTAGTCATCTGAGCCAGTAACCTTAACTTATTCCATCTGCCAGAAAAAAGTTAGGAACCAACTGTTCTTTTGTAAACTAGTGAGTTCTGCATTATCCTGTCTCATGGTAAAAATTGTAAAATAAAAACTACCAGGTTTCTGCTTATATGTTAATGTCTGTCTGTCTGTCTATCTACCTATATGTGTGTATGTGTAGATGGGTGACATTTTCTACCTCTGGAAAATTGCTAAATTGCTAAAATTAATTTGTAAAATTTAACAGGCTTATAAATTAAGTATTTCTAAATCTCAGAAATCTAACAGAAACTAACTCAAATGCTTTTTCAGGTTCATATGATCTAGGAAGACATTTGGTATTAAAGATAGTTTATGTTTGTTGGTTTAAACAGATATGTCTTTAGAGTTTTCAACATTAAATACGACACTTTTATCCTAGCCAGGTTTCCTCATCAAATATGTTCATATTATCTGTTACTACATTTGTCAACAAGAGACAGTGGCTGTCTAATGTCATATTTGAGTTATGATGTTTTGTGGGTATTCTAACCATAATTGTTAAGAACGAGTAAATTGAATAGATAGAAGTAGGTAAAAAGTTGTTATGTGAACTTTTTAAGTCGTTTCCCCAAATCTTTTTGGTAACCCTGAAACCTTAAAGTTTTGCTAAATTAAGTTGAATTCACTGAATATCCAGATCATTTCCAAATAAGATAAAATGCTGTAACATTAGTTACTGAATATAGGCTTGACCACTTTTTGCTTCCTTTTACCAAAGAACTGAAGATATTTGAGTCTATTAGTAAACATGCTTCATGCCACCCTGAGAAATTTTCTACAAAAAAAGCACATTTCTAGAAGTCATGACATTTATAAGTCTGCCTGAAAGAGGACTTCAGCTGCCTCCATTTTGACCTCAAGCTTTCTGTTGGGTTCTTCTTTCCAGCTTGTCTCTTGGCTCAGGGGGAAGACTCTGACAGCAAAGCATCCTCTGCAACATCCTCCTCAAGCAATAAGGACTGCCCAGAGCCAGCAAGATACCACCCTTGATTGACTCTAAGACAGTGGTCGACCAGAACTTCACTGCCCAGCTGCAAGCACCCACCGACCTTTGCCCCATATTTTCCTTCTATAAACCTGGAAGTATTTTCGGCACTTTGGAGACAGTTTTTTTTTTTTTTTTTTTTTTTTAAGCTTTTATTTATTTGACAGTGAGAGAAAGAGCACAAGTAGGCAGAGCTGCAGGCAGAGGGTGAGGGAGAAGCAGGCTCCCTGCTGAGCAAGGAGCCCGATGATGCAAGGCTCAATCCCAGGGTCCTGGGATCATGACCTGAGCCAAAGGCCGACGCCCAACCAACTGAGCCACTCAGGCGCCCCACGGAGACAGTCTTTGAGACGCTGGTCTGCTATCGTCCCCATGCTGGTCTCACTGAAATAAGTCCCTTTCTTGTTTCAACACCACTCCTCTCTCTGCCTGTGGATTCTGTCGACAGCGAGTGGCAGAAGCTGGTCTGTCCGGGACTCCCAGTGCCAGGCCCTCTTGCACCCCCTGCCCTGTTATATGCCAACTCAGAAGGCTAATGTAAAAGATAGTTCATGACTATTTACTTCCTAAAGTTCCTAAAGAACTCTAATTAATATGCAGGATCAAAGCTACGAGAAATAATAAGGGAAATATCTCCATATGCAAGAAAAGTAGGATGTGTGCTTTCACGAAAAGAAGGTATAAGGAATGGAAATGTATTTTTGTTGAAGGAAAAAAAGGAATCCTGTCCTAAAATCAGGGTGGTTTTTTAAAGAGGGAATACATAGGGCAAAATCTGATGATAAGAAAGTTGTAGAAGATTTGTGGAAAAGGAATCT